GACAACTTTTTCACAAAAAATTAATTTTTTTAACTTAACTTTTGAAAGTGTTCCGGAAGGTCTGACACTTTTATATATATCTTATATATATAAGTTGAAAAAGTTCTATTTTCTATATGCATTTTTGTGCTTTGAATCCCCTCTATATTAAGGGAAATGGTCCGATTTAAAAAAATAGTATGTCGAATGAAATATCTATATAAATACTACTTCTCATAAAAAAATTGTAATGATTCATTCATTTTTCAAAAAGTTATAGCATAATAAAGTTAAAAATGGAAAATACAAAATCGAAAATTTTCACACAAAAATAGTATTCGGTAGCCATTTTCACCATGAAGATAAGATAAAGTCCGAAATTTTTTTTTTTCATGATAAAGCATATTACATTAGCTTTAATTTAAGATATATATAAAAGTGTCAGACCTTCNNNNGTCTGACACTTTTATATATATCTTAAATTAAAGCTAATGTAATATACTTTATAATGGTAAAAAAAAATTTCGGACTTTATTTTATCTTCATGGTGAAAACAGACATTAAACTTAATAAAAAAAATACGATTTTTGTAAAAAAATTCTTTTTTATATTTTTAACTTTATAATGCTATAACTTCTCGAAAGATGTATGGATCAATATAATTCTTTTTTTTGTAGATGCATGATGTCTTTACCTATCATTTGGTATATTTTTTTTATAAATCTGACTTTTTACCTGCCTACAGGGGGGGATTCAAAATGACAACTTTTTCACAAAAAATTGACTTTTTCAACTTAAATTTTGAAAGTGTTCCGGAAAGTCTGACACTTTTATATATATATTAAATTAAAGCTAATGTAATATGCTTTATCATGAAAAAAAAATATTTCGGACTTTATCTTATCTTCATGGTGAAAATGGCTACCAAAATTAATGTGTGAAAATTCTCAATTTTATTTTTTACATTTTTAACTTTATAATGCTATAACTTATTAAAAAGTGTATTGATCAATATAATTTTTTTATGGGAAATACTATTTTCTAATAATCCCTTTTTCATTCGACATACTTTATCTTAATCAGGATATTAATTAGGAACTAGCAGTTTATGAAGCTTTTGGAATAATCCACCATTTTTTTAAAATGAAACACTATCTAAAGATTTGCATCGAAGCGTTTTTTTTT